GGCACTCTACCCAGGGGGACAGCTTGAGGGTCTGTCTCAAAAAAAAAAAAAAAAAAGAAGTTAAAGATCTAAATAAATGGCAAGACTCCGTGTTCACTTGTCAGGTCTTCTGACCCATGATGAAGATAGCAGTCTCCAGACTGGGCCAGCATCAAGAGGATTCCTGAGAGAATACCACAGGGGGCTTTTTTGTTGAATCTGACATGTTGATCCTAAAATTCTGATAGAAACAAAAATAGTCAAGGCAATCTTGAAAAAAATATCTAAGACAGCCGGAGGATGGACATTTTCCGGCTCCCTGACTTACTACAAAGCATCAGTGACCCAGACAGTGGTGGGAAGAGCAGTTCACTAGTGCTGAGATGGCTGGACATCCACACACAGTGCAGTGGGGCCTCCACCTGACAGTGGTGGGAAGAGCAGTCTTCACTGGTGCTGGACAACCAGACATCCACACACAGTGCAGTGGGGCCTCCACCTGACAAAGGCAAGAAGAGCAGTCTTCACTGGTGCTGGGACAGCCAGGCCTCCATACACAGTCCAGTGGGGCCTCCACCTGATACCACACACAAACATTAACCCCAAATAAGTCAGACTGAGATGTGATAGCTATAACTACAAAACTCCTAAAAGACAACACAGGAGTAGGTGCCACCCTTAGCTCAGTGAGTGGGGTGCCAGACACATACACCGAGGCCTCAAAAAAAAGGCTCCCTGACTTACTACTGCACTGTGTGCATCTTCCCTCTGGTGTAAGACTCTGCCTCAAAAAAAAAAAAAAAAAAAATTAAGAGTAAAAGATTATGACCTCAAGCAGAGCCTCTTAAATACAATACCAAAAGTGCAAGTGACAAGTGGCAAACTGGATAGATTGAACTTCATCAAAATTCAAAGTGTCCTTCAAATGATAGCATCAGGAAGTGGGCAATAACACACAGAATGGGAAAAAATTTCAGATCATGCAGCTACACCCTGAGTATAGAACTCTTATGTTCCATCCTGAAAAGACAAGCCTATTAAAAAGGGGCAAAGTATCTGAAGAGAAATCTCTCCAAAGAAATTATGCAAATGGCCAGTAAGAACATGAAAGATGCCTCATGTCATTAGTTACCAGGGAAATGCAAGTCATTTACCACAGCGAGCTGCCACTTCACACCCATCGGGATGGCTGGAAACAAGAGGCAGACAGTGAGTGTGGGCAGGGGTGAAGGGACATGGGACCCTGAGCACTGTTGGGGTGAAGAGAACACCACATAGCCCTGATGGGGAAG